TCTGGGAGTTGAAGTCCACTCATCTTAAAGTGGCCAAGTTTGGACAACACTGTAGTAAGTCATCTGAACTTTTGCAACCCAGATCCAGTAGCCTGGCTTGTACCCCTGTATCAAAACCTCTTTTTTTTTTTCTTTTAAGATTTTTTTTTAAAACCATTTTTGTTATTTTTTATAAATAATTCAAGGCAGCGGACAAACCTAGTCCTCCTTCCTCCTATGTTCCCCACAACAACAGCCCTGTGAGGTGGGTTGGGTTGAGAGAGAGTAACCGGCCCAACGTCACCCAGCCGGCTTTCATGCCTAGGGCGGGACTCGAACTCACCGTCTGCTGCTTTCTAGCCTGGTGCCTTCACCCCTAGATCACACCCTTGTGAGTCAAACAGTGTCAGAACTGGATCACGTAACAAACTGCAGATGGAAACCTGTAAAATTGAAGGGAAACAACTTTGTAAAGACAAGCCATTCTTTACTGTAAAAATAGATGCAAGCAAATATCTCCCCGCTCAATCATTGATTGACACCCTGCCAGGATAAATAAACAGAATGATCAAAGATAAGTCAGTACAGCCCACATATAGAAAAATGTCAGTCGGCTTCAGACTTCCTCACATTTAGGTTGGGCTCACTGGAATCCTTGGACTTACTGACAACTTAAGTCAATCTAATGTTAAAGCTCTTTAATTTTTTAAATCCTATTTTTTATTTATTTATTTATTTATTTATTTATTTATTTATTTATTTGATTTATCTCTGCCCATCTGCCCCTAATGGGGGACTCTGGGCGGCTCACAAGATCCGTTAAATTTACGTTCAATCCGTATTTTGACTTTATTTTTATTTTTTCAGATGGGATGGATCCCCATTCTGTCAAGCTTCCGGAATCGGGATCTAACTCAATGAAAGAAGTCAACATAACAAAATCAAGAGGGTTAAAATATATTTGGGGGCGGGGGGAAGAACTAAGAAGCATGCTGGGGCATCATTTTATAATTTATATGTCTTCTCCTTAGAAGGGTATAGACTTAAGCAAGTGGGCACTTCAGAAATCAGCATTTTCTGTTTAGCGGGAAGGATGAATTAGGGACCAAAGCATCACCATGCATTTGAAGCTCACTTGTTCAACAGTGAAGCTATTCCCCTTCGAATCTGGGTGGGCTTTTTTGGTAAAGGACACGTAGCTCTCTTCAGTATCCCCACTGGTACATGCTAGGCTTGTGTGTGCAGCTTGAGTGTCTCTCAGAGCACTTTGGAGCCTGTAACACATTTGGACCCCAAAGACTGATGGAGGCAGAGAAAGCAGCCTCATACCCTGATCTTACAGCTGGCTGAGTGGACATAAAATTGAAACCTGCCGCCAACAGATCCAGAAATTAGGAGTCTCTATATGCAAGTGGGAGTTGCACAGTCGTTTTAAGAATATTTTTGGAATACAGAGGCAGTCGGGGGTATAGAAGTGATGACAGCCCTGGTTTGGCAAGGCTGGACGTTTTGCTCCCTTTGGTGGAGAGGTATATGAGGCTTTTTTCCAGGGGCAGAATGAATGCATTAAATTTGACGTAAGATTAAGGCATATATTTTACCCCAAAATATGAGGGGGGGGGGAATCACACAGACAAAATTCAGAATTTTTGCCATGAATTTTGGCTGCTCGAGCTAAGGGTGTTCTAGGGACCATAAAAAAAGAGGTTGGGAAGGCTACATATGCACACCATATGTGGTCCACCCTGATGCTATTGCACCCATGCGCATGTACGCGCACCTCTTGTGTCATGCCGAAATCTTGAACTGTTTGCTGCAGTTGCTATGCCTACGAGCGTCATCCACTTGATGTGCTAGACTTATCACTGCTTTGTGTGGGGAATGAGCCATGCAAGTGGAAGAGGTGCTAAATAGCACTGACACCTTTGCGTTTCCTTGAAAAAGATAGGAAGGCGGGAATGGCTGAGAGCCAGACTAAACAACCCAGCCTCTGCATTCAGCCTCTTCCAAGGTCCAGGAGCATGCTAGCGATTGCTTGGAATTTGAGACAGCATTCAAGTGCCCCAAAAGGAGGGCATAGCAAATGGACAATAAATGGGATGTTCCCTTTATATTACAGTTCTCCCATTTAGAAACATGAGCTCCTGATTAATTCCTTGATGGACTACTTCCACCTGCAATGTTTATGTAGAAGGGCACTTCAGTGGCATCCCTCAGCTCTGCATTCTCCTATACTGCAAGGCTAAACCATAATTTTTACCCCTGAAGATGACTAACAGTCTCTTTGGAGAACAGAAGTGTGTCAGTGGGGCTGATTCAGTCTATAAAACTGATTTTTTTTTCCACCTCCAAATTAACGTAATTTGGTATTTTAAGAATCTTTGATAATCTTTTGTTTTTCACCCCCCCCACACACACACCATTTCAGCTTTTGATTAGTGCCAGTTAGCTTTCTTTTGCAAAAGAGGCAACATTGCAGCCGATGCTCCAGATCCTGGGGATGAGAACTTCCATAATTTCATTAGCCGTGCTGTTCAAATCCTCTGTAGAATTCTGTTGCCTGTGTCTGGATTGAAGATTTTACAATAAGCAGGCATCAACCCATTGAGGTAGACAAGAGAAGAGAATCATACAGTAGACAATACCCTAATCAAGGAACTACCAGAGGGAAAAAACAAAACAAAACCCCCACCAACACTGGCAGGGCAAGCCACTGTATAGAAACAGAGAGTAAACCCCACTCCATTCTAGCACTGAAGATGTTACCTAGCTGGGTAATGAAACGTTTGCAAGAAAACAACCAAGCTCAGAAAACCCAAGGACTCCACAGAGGTAGACAACGTCAAGAAACAGGCATGGCGGGGATTCCAGGAATGCGCCTTATTATTATGGGGTAAAAGAACAGAATCTTGGAAGCCTGCCAGGGTTTCTCTTTACACCGTCTTATACCAAACAAAATCAAGAGGGGTTCTTTTGAGTTTCTTTCTTACACTTTACTCTTTCTCAGGACTTTGTGATCTGTTCTGAAAGCCCCTCCCTGCTTTTTTTAACTGTTTATTCCCAAGACCAGGTCTAGATTCCTTACCAGCGGGTTTAGGACCAGGCTGCAATCCTGTCATAGTTTTGCCTGGCTTCTCTGCAATCTTCCACCCCAGAAACAAATCCCTGATATTTTTGGTTTTCAGATGCTTCCTGAAGGATGGGATCATGTTGGTGATGAAGGGAAAATCATCTTTTGTTACCATGGCAACGGAGCTATGCTAGAGCGTTGAAGCCAACTTTTCCTGCACTTTAAAGTCCCAGTGCAACTCTAGTTCATCAAAATGCATGTCAAGACACAGATTCTGGAGTTTACCCATTTGAACCTTTTGGACTAGGTAGAGTTGGAGTGGAGCTTCCAGTCTGAAAGCAAATGTGGCTTTGTTTGTCCCCTGCAGAATTCTCTTGACATAGCCCAAATGAAGAGTCTTCTGACTGCTCTGTTGTTGCTACTATTGGATCCCTGGTTGGATCGGATTGATTGGTACAGGGGAAAGAAACAGCTTTATTAACTACTTTAAAATGATGCTCAAACCACAGTTGAAGAATCAACAGCAGGAAAGAGATGAAAAATGGGTCCCTCGGCCCCTTTCCAAAGCACCTCTGCTTCAAAAATGGTGTGAAAAAGGTTGATAGTCTATATACGTGTGCAATTTTATGCATCGCTCGGATGTTTGTTCAGACAAGGTTCATGTTGTGTACTATATTTCATAGGAGTGTGTTGCTGTTTTGGCAGAAGCCCTGAATCCTTTAATCTGTGTTCCAGATCCTGGCTTTTATGTATGGGACAACCAAAGTGGAAGACCCCGATCTCAAGCAACGCCTTGGATTTTTGTTCCCTATGCCTTTTCACAATGTCTCCATTGTCATTAATAACACCAAAGAAATGGATTCGGGCCAATACATGTGCACGGTGAACGTTCCGGATGACAGTACGGTGAATGGGAGAAACATTGGACTTGTTAACCTCACTGTTCTAGGTAAATGAAGCGTTGGTTTGCTGCTGCTCTGCAGAGGTTAGATCTGGACATGCGATCGTTGATCCCCTGGGCCACCTTATTTTCATATCCGCTTTCAGTGCATCATTCTGCACCATAAAAGCATACGCGGTTGAGCTGGGAGTCTAGCAATTCTTCCTTTAGTTCAACCTTGTAGTCTGCAGAGCTGCAAAGTAATTTGGAAGGAGCACCCAAGTTGCAGCTCTTGTGCAGTTTCGGAACAGTCCCATGGGATAGATCCAGAAGGAGCGATTCTGCTTGTATGTGTATCGTTGCCTTTCCCCAACGTCAGCACCGACGCTTTGTAAACCCTTTTCCTACTGATATTAATCCAAGTTCGAGAAGATACCTCTGTGGTTCAGCAATGGAGGCCCAAAGTAGAATGGGATCATTTCTGGCCCCCAGTATTTTAAGAGCACATAAAAAGATCAAAATCAAAAAGTTGTTTCTTGCCACAGGCGGCATTAACAGCAGCAAGCTTAATACATCTGTTAATATTTCAGATCCCTCCAAGTTTGGGGTTCTGCAACAGACTAACAACATCTCTTCTCCTATGGAAGCTGATGGAATCACAGAACTGATTCTTTTGTGGGCTTTCAGTAGAAGCTGAATGTTTTTTTATAGCCAGCAGATGGCACGATGTACTACCTTTTAAAGCAGTGCTTCTCAACCTCAGCCACTTTAAGACGTGTGGACTTCAACTCCCAGAATTCCCTGACCAGCCATGGCTGGGGAAGCCTGGCTGGGGAATTCTGGGAGTTGAAGTCCACGCATCTTAAAGTCGCTGAGGTTGAGAAGCACTGCTTTAAAGTATTGAAACTGGTTTTGTATTTCCTTAATGAAAAAAAGAGACCTCATTGTTTTGCAGTTCCACCATCTCCACCAAAGTGTCAGATTCATGGCAGTGCCCAGGTTGGAAGCAATGCTACCATGTCCTGCAAATCTGCTTTTGGAAAACCTGTCCCAGTTTACCATTGGCAGCGGACTGAGCCCAGCTCCCAGTTTTTCTTTGCACCCGCACAAGGTAGGAATCTTCGCTCTGGGCATTGTAGTCCAGCACTGCTGGGTGGGTCAGATTGGACACGGCTGTGGTTTAGGGCATAGCCCTAAACAATCTGATTGAAGATGGGAGAAGGCCCCCATTTATCTTTTGGGTGATGTGCTAGGACTGCTTTTCAAAAAGTAGGTAAGATCAGGCAAGAACCAACTGATTCAGTTAAATTAATTTAATCCAAAGTTGCTGGTTGGATGAGTCCTTGCATATTTCAAATTCTTCTTCTTCGTTCTCCTTCAGAATCACCATTTGGTGACAACTTTTGAATGAGCCCCAGGGAAGGAGGCAAGCTTTTCAGGGGCTATTGGTGGCCGCTTGGATTCTGGTTTTACACCCTGGCTTAGTGCAATGGGCAAAGAGGGACTTTGGGTACTTAGCCAGGCCCCTGAGAGAAAGGTAATGGGGTCCTCTTGAAATGCAGTCCTGCTGGTTTGAAATTTGCTTGTCTTTTTTTTTTTTCCAGACACAAAGAAGGGAATCCTGACTCTGACAAATCTTACTATCGAGATGTCCGGGGTGTATCTCTGCAACGCCTCCAGCATAGCTGGCCATTCCAACTGCATGCTTACTCTGGAAGTGCATCCACGTGAGTCTTTTCTTGGGAGCACAAAACTTCCTTCTACCCAGTTTCCAATTACCTGGGAACCCTTAATAGCAAGAGAAGGGCAACATAAATAAAATCCCACAATTGCAATCAGTTGTATCCTTAAGAACAATCTCCCATTTATATTTGAAAATAAACACCCTCCATATCAAATTTTAGGAAAATGTGGAGGGTTCACCTTGGCCTCTCCTTGCCAGCTGCTGTAGTGAAGGTGTCCATGTACTTAACAATATGTAGTAGTCACTGTCCCATCTGGATTAAAAGATGCTATTCATACCCCTGATAAAAATGTCCATCGTCCTAACAGTCTGTTCATGCATCAACAGGCAATGTGATGCAGCGATCGGAGCATCCTTCCTCATCCTCTCCAGAATTCCCCAGCAGAAATATGGGCTTTAACTCCCAGAATTCCCCAGCCAGCACTGCCATTGCTAAGAATTGGGGGTGTGGGTCTATACATCTAGAGAGCATCTAGGACAGGGAATACCAAAGAGAACCATCTCATTCATTCATGAAATTGTTTCAGCAGTCAATATCTCCCTGTCTAGTCTACTTCAGAGTTTTTTATGATAACCATGGGAAGAACAGCCATGTACAGACTTTTTGGAAATAAGACTGATATCCATGACATATACACATAAATATATGCTCGCATGGAGGTTGGATCCAGAATTAATCATGTTTGATATCAAGAAGTTAAAGGGATTTAATTAGGACTACCTTGACCCAAACATCTAGAGAGGCAGGAGGCTGGGGAAGGCTGAGGTGGGGAGAGTTGCCTGAAACCTTTTCCCATCGCCATTAAAAAAAACCCAAAACATCTTCCCTGCTATGGCTCCCTTTGCAGCATTCAATACAGCGGTGGTGGCTGGTGCAGTCGTGGGAACCCTCCTTGGACTTGGCCTGATCATCTTTTTTACACTTCAGATGTTTGTCTACCAAAAGAAAAAGAAAGAAGCCCAAGAGGAAATAGCCAATGAGATCAAGTAAGTAATACAGAACATCTGGCACTGCTGATGGCAGAGCTGGAAAATAGTGTCTGCCACAAGTTGTTGGAGTCCAAGTCCTATCAACCTGGATCTCTATGGCCAATGACCAGGAATGGCAGGAATTGTCACCTGCCAACATCTGGAGGAAGCTTCTAGGCTGGAGACCCCAAACATATTCAGATCATCTTCAATATTTACTTCTGACAAGTTTAAACAGGGAAGACTTTGTGATGGTAAGATCTGTACAACAGTGGAACAGTTTATGTATAGAGGTGGTGGGTTCTCTTTCTCTGGGGAGCCAACTCTCATGGATGATGTAATTGGTTTTGTAGTAAACATATAGGAGTACAAGTACTTGCAAGGCAAAATCTGTTCAGACACTCAGCTTGAGGGAAGCTGCAGTTTAAATACCTGTCCAGGTTTTGAAAGGACTTTAAAAAATAAAAATGATAGATCAACATGGAAACGAAATATTGGAAAATAGCTTCATTGATCCTTATTTTTCCTTCCACTAATCACCTCCTTCTCCACTGCAGGGAAGATGCTGTAGCCCCCAAGACGCTCACCTGGGTGAAAAATTCCAGCACTGACGGAGTCTCCAAAAATGGCACGTTGTCATCCATGAACACAACTCGGGATCAGAAACCATACCCAGTCCAGGCCCCCTCAGACACAGCCTCCATCACCACTGCAGCAGGAAGCATGGTGGGTTTTAAGCCCCCATTCGCCAACCCCAGAAATGGAACACTCACACCAACGCCCAGCCTTTCCAGCCAATCGCTCCCCCTCTACTTTCCACCCGTGGTCAATGGGGTCCAGTGCCATCATGCCAATGTGCCCATCCACAGGAATACCCTCCACCGGACAAACAGGGCTCAGCCACAGGCCCCGCAGCAGCAGGAGCCCCCTGTCCCCAATTCTCAGGGGTTAACTGCCTCCACTCTAAATCGCATGGGAGCAGTGCCTGTCATGGTGCCTGCTCAAAGCCAAGCCGGATCTTTGGTGTAAATGTTCCTAACTCCATAGCTCTCTATGTGGCAAACAGTTTGACTTGTCGCAAGCAATGCCGAGAGACATTGTTACATCGTGCTGCTTTGCCAGCCTGTCTGCAGAGGTCCAGGGTCTGTCTGTGGGGTGGTTTGTTCTTCAAGTGACCAATTGTCAAGACTTTGCCATAAGTGAGACTTACGGGAACTTCTGAAAAGGACTTTTTGGGTAACCGGAAGAGCTTCTGTTTATCTGTCAAATCTTATGCTTCTTGGTGCACCAGCCCTATTCCATCTCCTCTGGGGATCTACCTAACAGAGACTAGGTCTAACTGGATTTTTTAAAAATTGCTTGTTCTCTACCTTGATTCTTAATGTTGAAGAAGAAAGGCAGGCTGTGATTTACTGTCTTGGTTTAGAATAAAGCACCAGGAGATAGACCTGATGTCTGTAAGCAAAATGGGGCATTCTACCCCAACACTTTCCAAGAACTAGCCCAAACAAAGGGAGAGCCTCCAGGCACTTAGGAAAGTAAAGTAAAGATAATTGAAACCTACCTGGCTCCATATCAGCAATCTACACATTCTGGAAACCTGCACAAATCAAGAAAGTAGTAGAATCTCAGCTGATGTCGGGCTCAGCCCATGAACAACGATGAGACAGCCCAGTTGAGTAAAGGCCCTTTATTTGCTTACACCTTATAGACAGAATCTTGCCAGACTAAATCTATACTACTGCACTCCCCCTGCAGACTATGCTGCCTCTTGCCTCCTCCCCCCTCTGGGAATGCATCCCCTCCTTCCGGGTAGCCTTGATCTCTCACATCACTCCCTCTTTGTAAATACATTCCATCACAGTTGCAGTGTTGAAGAATGCAAGTTTCTCAACCAAAATGAGAAATCCCCACCCCACCCCGTTTGGACAGCATTTTCCAGCAATGGGTAGAGCTACAACCAAACTGGTGAAGCCACTTCATTTCTGTTCATTTCTGCCTCCTCCCTCCATCTCCCCAGAGGAGACTAAAGGACAGTTCAGTCTCACTGTTGCTTGGGCTGACAGCCTGCAGGCAGTTCTTGATGTGAGTTCAAAGGTTATACATAAACCCTTCAGCTGCATCTTTACCCAACTGATTTTAGACCCGTACAGTAGGTTAGAGGTGTGTAATCTTTCGAAGGCCAAGGCTTCCATTTATTTATTTTTTTACATGTATGAAGAAGCCACATCCCAAAAATTAGGTGGTGGTTAGAACACAGACATAATTGTTAAATACATTTCATTTAAGGTAAATGTCACTTAAATAGAATTAATGGAACAGTTAATGCAGCTATTCCAGATTTACTTAATAATCCTTAAAATGACAAGTTCAAATTTTGGCACTTCTGGAGGCCCATCCAAGACTTTGGAAATTTACCTGCACTTGTTGGGCTCTAAATTGTACACATGGATAGTATCAATGCCCAGTGGGATAAGTCTGGTACAAAATAAATGCAGCCCTAATCAAGAGTTTCTCTTCTATAATGGATACAAGCAGTAATATAATAATATCCTTTTTCCTGAAATGGTATCCTAGATTATTTAATTTGGCAGCCTTATTGACAAGATAGATTTAGCTCAGAATGGAACTATTTGTGGAGACAAGTGCCAAGAAGTTGTCAAGGCTGTAACATAAATGCAAAAAGAGATCTAAGTATTGGTGTTCACCTGAAGATGTTTGGAAATGTTAGGAATAAATTAAATGGAATATATGAAACAGACAATCATTTGGTGACTCCTCAAGTTTTAATTCTTGGTGGTTCTGAAACTGAAAAGTGGATGCCACCTATATGGGTTTAGCTTATGTAAACCTAAAGAGTAGTTTTGCAACAGAAATCCATTTTTATAGGACCAGAAAATGCTTTCCCAAGGCAACGTTTCCTATTCATCCAAGCTTATCATATACTGTCAGATGGAGCAGTATTTATTAAGTCTTTATTAAGCTGGTGACCCACTGATGTGTAGAGTTTCTGTGCCAGGACTATTTATCCCACCACTCTTGTGCTGAAAATTTGGTGCACTTCTTTTGTTTCCTAGCATTCTTACAAGCCTACTTTTTGAAGTACTGTTCCCATTTCAGTTAAGGTAGGTTATAGCCCATGGAAATACAGGTGTAGAATATGCTTTTCAGGAAGTGCTCGCAAACCCAAGGAAGGGTAGGAGACAGGTTCAGATGAATCCCTGGAGAACTCCAGGTAGCACCCTGAACAGCTCCAGGCTGGAACCTCTTAGGAAGAGGCTCAGATATCTTCTTCACCAGGCATGTGAGAGGTTATCTAAATAGGGTTACAGCTGTATTTAAAGGTAAAGCCACCTTTCCATTCAACTAGAATTCTGCTGATTTTGTGTAGTCATCCATGTAGCCTTATTGCCAGCAATACAGGTTTGGTTTGGTATTGCTTTCTTCTAGAAGGATGATGGTTCTTTGTTTTCCAATCTGCTGGTCTAGCCTACAGCTGTGGTTTTTCCTGCAAGTCTGCCTTGTATTCTCTGGAGGTCTCCCTTACCCAAACACAGTCAGCCAGTTGCTCTGAATGAATATGCTGTTCCCTCCTAGGTAAAACATCTTTTTTTGCTCCAAACCTGTTATATTTGTTTTTTCTTTCTTTATTTCTTTAAGAATGTTAGAATAAATGGCATCCCTTCTATTACTGTTGTGGTAGGACCTTCATACCTACAGTGCTGATTCTGGAAAATATGCTTTTGTTCTGATGTGCTCCCCCATCCCTTAGTTATCCACCCAGGAACTCCACCAAGACACTACATCAGTGTTTTTGAAATGTGACAACTTTATGATGCGTGGACTTCAACTCCTGGATTTCTCCAGCCAGCATAGGAATTCTGGGAGCTGAAGTCCACACATCTTAAAGTTGCCAAGTTTCAAAAACACTGCTCTACATGATCTTGCTTTAAGGGCAGATGCTGCCTCAGGTCTATCAGAATATTGCCTCTTCCATAACAGTAAGAGCTTGTCTTGTAATATTATAGATTAACTTTCTACCAGCTTCTGAAACAGACTGTTTAAGGGCACCTTTTGCATCTTAATATATATTGTGCAATTATGTTTATTCAATGGACAAATTCTTAGTTCTTTTTCTTTTTGATAAATGTAGATGGAGTAAATAATTTATACTTATAGATATTAACAGGTCTGTGAATCTGGACTGGAGTCCTCTAACCATTTTCATGCTAGCTATTTTTATTTTTGAAAGTCAATAAGATCCTTCTGTTGTGTGAGAAGGTAGGAATACACTGAAGTATTTTTATGTACAGTTTTGAAATGTATTATTTTTCATAAGCAATCATTAAAAGTATTTGTTTTTATATCAACTAAAACAAACTGGAGTAGAATAGTTTGCATCTGGGATGTGTGTATGTATGTGTGAAAATGGTAATGCACTGAAAGATCCTTACCCCGGCTTTCCTGTTTTCCCACCGAATTAAAGCTCCAAGTAGCTTATTCTTTTCTTTTTACAAGAAAAGTGATTAAATCACTTTACAAAGTGATTAAAATGTTTAAAAGTGACACAGAAAGGAAGAATAAAAGCAAATAGAAATACAAGATTAAAAGGAAAAAAAACTCAGCAGCCCCAAACAAAAACCAATTAAAATAAACAAGAAAAAAAACTGCATTCTCAAAACAAGAATTGCTGTGGGTGAATTGCATGCATTGCAAAATGCAGTACAGCTCATTTAAGCACAGCCATTTTAGCCCTGATCCAACCCATGGTAAGCGGTAGGCTAAAGCTATTTGACAAAGGGGTCTGCCAATAAACTTATCTGTAAAAATTGTTTGCCTGGGTGGAGAGCAGCGGTGTTTGTTTCTTCCAGTAGCTGAGTTAAACATTTCCCAGAGTGATGTTTGTATTTCCTTTGTGGAAGGAAGCCATGCCATTTTCTCTACGCTTTCAGTATGTAGGCTTACACGTATGTATTTAAAGCCCAGCTATATCAGTGTGCGGCCATTCTGAAATCTATCGGTATACAGAGACTGAATACATTTATTTTCAGATCCATGGAAATGGGTGATAATAAACACAGCATAATTCGTTGGGGTTTTTTTACTGCACCATACAGGGGTTTGTATGCAGGCGTTAAAGCTTTTTCTTGTTCTGCTTTGCTTCAGGCTGTTTGCACTGCGAATACATGTGTCTTGATCAGAATGCTCACCGGCACTGCACATGTCTCTTACACCCACCTTTGTCCCTTGGATCTTTCTACTTAATGAGAAGTTAAAAAAGCAGAAGATGGTACACACAG